ACACTGTAAGTGATAATCCACCTTAACCCCGGCTGTGGTTAAGCATCAACGACTGCCCGACAACTGATACTCTTAGGTGAGCACCAACCACTGCCCTCAAGGTACCTGTGGCAAAAGTCAAAGCAAACTATCACTCACCCACACCAGATGGAAAACTGGGTAGGTGGTACGGAGGTGTGTTGGAATCTCGATCATGTAGGACGGCCCATCGTCCCCGCCTTTGACTTCTAGAACTCGGCACAACCCTTTATACGCAGGTAGTAGTTTCTGTGAGATGTTCTCCTCAGGAGTAAACTCTTTGGACTTGACCCAGACAAGGTCGCCTACTTGGAACTGCGATAGGCGACGATGCTTGTTCGCTTGCTCTATCATTCTGTGCTGGGCCTTCCTGAGGTTCTCTACCACTTTGGTAGTTTCCTTCTCGTGTTGTAGCACAAACTGCCTAGTACCGGGCGGTAGCCTCTGAATCTGGTCCCGGTTCAGTCCTTCAAACCGTTTGCAGCGTCTAAAGGACTTGTGTAACTCGTTGGGAGTGCGACAAGCGGCTAGATGAACGTTGTTATTGTAAGCACTGGCTTTGGGAGCATCTTGTCCCAGTTGACTTGATCTGGTCTAATATGAATTCTAAGAACTTGTTGCAAGATTTTGTTCATCGGTTCGGTCTGACCGTTAGTCTCTAGGTGGCGGCCAGACAACATCAACAACTTAGAACCATAAACTTTCATCAGTTCCTGCTAGTTCTGACCAGTGAACCTGGTGTCTCTGTCACTAACTATCCACAACGGTAGACCATGCTCACTGACCCAATGATCAAATAACTTTTATATAACTAGATCAGTACGTGCCTCAGTGGACAAAAGGACAAAAACTGCATACTTGCTAAAACGGTCAACAACAACCATGACTTGGCTCTTACCATGCCTACTCTTGACCCCAACATCCATGAAGTCGACGGACACAGAGTCTCCGGGTCCTGACAGAATAGGCAAGGGTCTGACAAGACCCAACGGGCTCACGTCGTATTTTATTGCTCTGGCATACCTTACAACTACGCACATACTCCATGCAATCAGCTTTCATGTCAGGCCACGCGTAGGCACGTATCAGGTTGGCTAAAGTCTTTTGCCAGTCGAAGTGCCCTTCTTTGTCGTGACATTCCCCTAAAATAAGACCGTGAGTCTCTTCATTGTTGGGAATGCATAGTCGATCTACAACGTCAATCTTCTCAAACAATAACCCATTCGTGGTGCGGTAGTTAGGCTCACTGGCTGGGTCCTCCTTTACTCGCTTGAGGAGGTCACTATGAATAGGGTCTTGCGCGTACGCATCTATGACTTTTCGCTGCAAATCTGACCCTATATCCAAATAGTGAATTATAGCTCCAAAGTAGTCGGCTCTTCTACTAAGGGCATTTGCCACCACATTATACTTTCCTTTGACTGGCTTGAGCTCGAAGTCAAACTGATCTATCTCGGCGGCCCACCTAGTAAGCTTAGGTGTCATCTTGGCCTGCGTTTCATCCACCTCAATGTCTCGTGGTCTGAATAGACTTTGAAGTGTCTCCCAAGCAAGTAGTGTCTCCAATGATCTAATGCTTGCCTGAGAGCTTAGAGTTCCCTCTCATAGGAGCAGCTTGCTACATTCTTTGAAGGCAACCTAGTGGACATGAACTCTACGGGTCTATACCCATTGCTATCGTCTTGCTGTAAAACAACACCAATATCATACTGACTAGCATCAGTTGTAACGACAAAAGGTAAGGATGAATCAGCTACCTTTAGGACTGGATACTCTCTCAAGGCCCGCTTCAATTTCTTCAGGGCTGATGTACAGTCTTGGTCCCACTTCCAGATTGCCTCTTTCTTTAGCAGTCTGCGGAGCAGCGATTGCAGAGAAGTTCCTTACGAACTTCCTGCAATAGTTAGCCAATCCTAAGAACGATCTCAACTCTGTCCTCGGACTTTATGCCATCACCATCTAAGACGTGGCCCAAGTACAAGATTTTCGTCTGACGCTTCTATTCCTAATCTCATTCTCTCTTCCAGTGGCCTTTTTAAGTTCCTCCTCTAGCCTTAAGCGGATCCTCTCTACTTGCTGGAGCTCCATCTGGTCCTTGGTGCGTGGAGGCAGCGAGCTGAACTGCGAGCCCGACATCTGACTAGTGCCAGCCCCTGACGCACTGGAGATGGACTGCGCTGGTCTGCTGACCAGACGATTGCTGCAGAGGTAGCCATTGCTACTGCGCTAGCCTCTGCTGCCGCTAACGTCCTCTCTACAGCTGCTGCTGCTTCCCTGGCAATCTCAAGATTACGGGCCCTTGCTTCGGCCCATAGCTTTCTTTCTTCTCCTGGTAGCAGGACCTGGAACACTACAGGTACCCTAAGCGAATCACGCCTAGTCTGCCTTCTATCGTTAGCTGTACCTTCACCACCTTCTGATCCACTCATCGGCTAGGCAAACGCTGTCTGCACTAGAGTCCACTCTGGAACCTACATGCGTCTCACCGGTTCTAAAAATAAATAAATAAAAATAATACCCGACAAGTCACCTAGGCTACTGTTCAAGCGGTATCAACAACATTCAAACAGACTGTACACATAATCTAAATCAACTTTGATTAGTTCTCTTACAGCAACTTCGAAGAGAACTGGCTATGGTAGAACACTACAATTCCAGTTGAGGCTATCTGCGAGGTGTTAGCAGTCTGTCAAACAACTAATCATATCTCTGAGGTATTAGCAGTCTGTCAAACAACTAATCATATCTCTGAGGTGTTAGCAGTCTGTCAAACAACGAATCAAAATAAAAATAAACTATATGAGATGTATGCACAATGGGTATGGATGTGTTTGCCAGTTGAGTCTCAATTGGAATCTTCCCCCCCTGTATCCAACGTGCCTGTAGCCATCATTGAGCGACAATGTCTAAGGTGTGCATTAGCGGCCCACCCCTGTGCCCAAGGTGTATGCTTATGACCAGAATTGCCCGTTCTCTACCCTCGCGTACAACGAGCCTTACGTCTGACTGATCTGGCTGATCAAGAGGCAGTTTAAGGACAGCCCCAAGGTCCTCAGGAATTATTTAACGTCGCAAGCAGGATGACGATCACAGCCACTAGACAGATCTGACACCTGCCAGAAATACTTATAGACGGTCTGGATAGCGTCTGCAAAGGACTGGACAGTCTGCACACCCTCTCTATCAGCGCAGCAAAAAGCCTCAAAGGACAAAGCAGCATGGCCTGCGTGTACTACTCCCATGGCTGGCATGGTGACTGTGACCCGTGCTTCGACCAGGGCCCTTATGAGGCACCACCCTCTCCTGCCAGATGCGCCGCCGGGAAGAATGTCGGCTCCCAAGGTAGAGCGCTCACGACTCCTCACACAAAAGAGAGGACACTCAAGGTTGGACTCGCTTCCTCACGGTAAGAAGAGATTGAGAGGGTATGTAAGGTGAAGGAACAACGCACCTGGAGATAGCTGCCCCCAACCACAGATTTCTCACCAATTGAGCCGAGGTGCATTTCGATGACCGGTCATAGCCTCGGTACCACCCACAGCGCAATGCAGTGCCACCTCAGCCAAAATGCCACATCGGCATGCTCTCATCACCATACATACATCCGCTGTCACCACAACTCCCATGCTGTTGCCACAGCCTTCCAGCGGACCACCCCTCTACCTGGGCCCCGATATATCAAGCCAGCGCCGAAGTATCCTTACTGCACAGAAGCATCGTCAGCACACCAAGTAACTATGTCGCCGGCGCCAGGTAAGTGGCGATCTTGAACCAGCTCCTATACCAAATTGCAAGGAATATGAGTGGGAACGATATACAGAAAGCGAAGTTGCGAAATCACATGTCCAAGTAGTCGTGTAAAAGCAGAGAGCACAAATGCACCAAGATTCCATCCAAATAAGAGCAATACAATGAAGTAATGAGCCAATGTTCAAGCCCTCAGGCCACACCAACAAAGTATCCAAAGTCACTCCTCTCTGTCTGGCGCCCAGCACCCAGCCTAAACTACGCGACTATCCTACCTACATCAGCATTCTCGCAACAGGCTCACTTCAACCCTCGAAAAACAATGTACATGATGTCAACACCATAGCCGACCTCTCTCATGTACCAGGCACGTAACTCGTCTACCCTCGTCAGACCCTGTCCACCAACACTCGCCTTCTTCCTGAAGACCACCGATCGCCCTCTTACCCCCTAGATCCCTGCAGCCCCGGCTATGGCTGCTAGCGCCCTGCTGCCCAGCAGTGCTCCTCTCACCTCTCGTGCGCCCCACAAGCGCCCTGGCCGCAACGCAGCATGGAGCCTCTAACGCAGCAGCGCAGCAGCGTGACTGCATTGCCTGCGTGGGCCAGAGTGCCAGACCCTGGCTGCCTTCCTTCCTATATGGAAGTGGCAGCCTCTGCTTGGCTGCGTGCGGCCTGGCTGGAAGCTTCCAGTAGCTTCCGGTTGGGCCCCAGTGCCTGCGCCCAGGCCCAGTGCTACAGTCGAGGGCCTGGGCCCTTTACAGTTGGGCACGGCCTGAGTCTCCAGACTTGGGACGTTTGCTGCATTTGCACAGGACCCAGGGTATGTACGTCGACAGTGATGCTTTTGCGTAGGCCTGTGGCCACTTCGTGATGTATGCGCTGCATTGTGTGTATGTGCCCAGGCGCAACTGCCAAGGCCTGGGCCAAACTGTACGACACAGCTTAGGGAGGTTCACGCGTCCACTCAACCAACTGGCAGGCTGCAACAGCCTGAGTACCCACATATGCAAAATGTCGAATTTTGGCCTTTAGTGAATATTCAGGCCTGCCTTCACTTAGGGCGGGCACTTGGCTTGCTGGGGGCCTCTTCCCAGAACATGTGCATGCTTGACAAGGGCCCCGCGAGGGCTCATTCCTCACATAAATGTGCCTTGACTGACAAGAGGGGAGCAAGGGGGAAGAGGGGGAGGGAAATCTGTGAATGAGCATGCAAATTCAAATGAAAACACATACCTGTCTTCCAGTTTCCCTGCCTTGACAGTTGAAGCAGTAGCATCCCACAGACGGACTGTGTTGTCTGCTGAACCTGACGCCAGGAGAGATCCATCGCCACTGCACAAATGGGTGAAAAAACGGAGACAATACATCCATCTTAACTTGGGACATGGCTACTGGCCACAAGCACTAAATGAGACACTACAGTAAAAGAGGCAAAGGAAAACAAGGAAGAAGGGCAAAACAGAAGCTGCACTTCAGTCTTACATAACTGGGGAAGTGTGGAGAATGACTGGGGGGCGAAGAGAGGAAGACGGTGAGGTTCAGAGATGATCAACGAGAAAACTGTCGATCAGTTAGCAAAATAGTGCAACCATTCAGAGCGCTTAACATCATATAAGCAGTATTAAGCACAGCTGCGGCACTCGAGAATGGCTGTCGTGAAAGGGGGGAGATTTAAGGAGAAAGGCGGAAAACTTTCAAACAACTAGAAAAGGGTGCAACCGTTCAAAAGATGACAGATAGATGCACATAGCACTCCTTTCCATGCGTACACACCAGAGAAAACAGGCACAGCGTACAGTAGCCAGCGAATCGCGCGTGAAGGGATCCACATAACTCGGTACCTTTTGCATTTACTGATGGACACATACACTTGCGAGTCATAGGCCTCGATAAGCCCTACTGGGCCCCTATTTGCAACTGGTCGGCTGCCCTAAGTGAAGGCAGGCCCGGCAGACTACAAGAGGCCTATTTTGGACTACTTCACAACTGGGGAAAATTCAGGCAGTTGCGCAGTGCCAGTTGGTTGAAGGCACCCAGGCCCTGGCCTCCTTTATTGACTGTATCTAAGTCAGACCCTGGGCGAGATATGCAGCATAGACCCAACTCAGACAGCAGGCAGTTGGGCACAGGTAGCTGTCGGTGGCCGGTCTAAGGCTCAGCCTCCTTGGGCCTACCGGAAGCTTCTGGGCAGGGGCCCAGCGCAGCCAGGCTGCACGCAAGCAGGCTGGCCACTTCCATTTAGGAAAGGGCCAGCCTACGCATTGGGGATTCGGGCACTGGCTGCTTTGTGCGCAAGCGCTGCTGCGCTATCGCCTGCCAGGCTCACGCGCTCACGGGCGACCTGGAAGGAGCAGGCAGCCATAGCCGAGCTGCGCTGATTTATGCTGGATGGGGCGCATGGTGGTCCTTGGGTGCAAGTGGCATCTGTGAGTTGGGGATCGAGGTTGTGAGTGATACGAGAGACATACCTGGTGCTTGACGCGTGCGGCGTTGGCCGAGGTCTGCTCGTACTTGGGAAGCTGTTGACGTCATCGGCGACATTGGAGTCTAGGCTAGATAGGATCTGCCATTCGTAGTCTGAGCGCCGAGCGCCAGATAGGATATCAACATTGGTTCTTCGTTGACGATGATGAGACTATTCCAGCATTGTCAATTATGAACTCTTGGTGTGCTCTTATTTGGTGAAACTCGTGATGCAATTCTGCTTTTGGTTCGAGGTCACGACTATCTGGTCTCATGTGTATGATGCTGTCTGATTGCTGAAGTTCGCTATTGCTCATCTTCCTTGCAATTTGGTATCAGAGCTGTGGTTTGGTGTGCTAATCTGGCGCTTATCTTCTGCCTAATGCAGTACATGCACGAGGTGTGTACAGTGAGCGACCGTGCCGTGGGACGTGTGTAGTGAGGAGGGCGAAGATAAGTGGCGACCCAGGAGGTGAGGGGTATCGCCAGGAAGGCTGCATGTGATTATTGGGTGTTCGCAGTGTGATGAGATATATCCGGTGTGTGATTGATGCTGAGGTGGAACGGTTGTGCAATGCTGGTTGTGCCGAAGCAGCGATTGGTCATCACAATCAACATTGGGTCATCTGGTGAGAATATCTGTGGTTGGGGGCAGCTATTTTGAGTTACGTTGCACCTAACCTTATCTACCCTCTTCGACACTTCTTACTGTGAGGATGTGTGTTCTGTCTTGACAGTCCTCTCATGTGAAGAGTCGTGTGCGCTCAACCTTGAGAATCGTCAGCCTTCACGTGGAGCATCTGGAAGGAGAGGGCGGGGCTATCTGAAGGGCCCTGGACGAAGCACTGGGTCACGGTCACCATGCCAACCCACCGGGAGTAGAGCACGCATGCTTTGCTGCTTTGTCCTTTGTCTGCTCGCTGAGCTGTAGAGGGGTTCTGAAGGGCAGGCCAGCCCTAGGGGACAGACGAGACCGGGTGTCTATAAATAAGCACCGGCGGGATACCTTCCATTGGCCGTGACCGTCGTCCTGTTTGCGACGTTAAAGAATTCCCGAGGAGTTCGGGGGCTGTCCATAAAAACGCCTCCTGATCAGCCAATCGGTCGGTGTAAGGCTCGCTGCACGCGAGGATAAATACGGTGCGGGGCTGGCCAGCTCAGCAGAACTCGGGGCACAGGGGTGGGCCGTGTGCACACCTTCAGATACGCACGCTATCTGGATTGCTCAGGGACGTTGACGACAAGAGACATTCAAGAAGAATTGAGGGAGGGGTAGATTCCAGGTGATAAGTTTGGGCAAGATTCCATTCTGCAAACAGACCCAACCAACGATTCTATTTTTATTTTGATTAGTTAGATGTACAGCCATTGACATCTGACAGACAGCATACATCCTCCTCCTTTTGTCCCACCGGTGACTGGGTATCCCCATATACTACTCCAGCATCGGTACAGCCCGTTTCCCTGGGTATGCCTTTAACAGGCAGGTTCTCAACAGGTCCCAGTGTTCAGGTTCCTGTACAGACAGTGTTCTCCCAACCTCCATCTCAGGTTGCCGTAAGCGGGCAGCCGGATGTCTCGAGCCTACACAGCCGCAGGGTACTCAGCCCCAGCAGCAGCCAGTGCAGCAGCCTGCACCACAGGGTCCACAACCCGAAGTGGTACAGGCATCGGGACAAAGTCAGTGGGTACCAAAGACGACCATCGCCACTCCTAAGCCCTTTACAGGGGATAAGAGGGGCGAAGACCTCGACACTTGGTTGAGGGCAGTGCCGGTCTACGTCAAGTGCAAACTTACCTTGCCGCACGAGGAAGTGCTTGTGGCTGCCTCCTATCTAGAGGGGAGTGCAGCACGATGGTTGAGTGGTTTAGTGCAGCTCCAGGGGTACGGTTATGACTTTCGCGCTTTGGCGGTCACCCAGAAACTGGATGACTTTCTCAAGTTGGTGGAAGACAGGTGGCATGATCCTCAGGAGGCCCAAAAGGCTACTGATGCGATCCTGACACTGCACACGAGGCAGCTTAAGTCAGTAAGGGAGGCCACTGACGCTGTAGAGCGTCTGATCTGTGTCCCTGGGGTGCGCTATGACCCCCAGGTTTTACTCACCTCTTACCTGAGATGCTTTCTAATGCCTCTCAGGAATCAGTTGGCAGGTGAGGCCAACATCAATATGCACAACTTTCCCTCGTTTAGCAAGAAGGCCCTAGACATTGAGGCAAAGATAGGGCATGGTCAGACACCCACGACGGGTGGTAGGAGAAAGTCACTGCCTCCCAACTTGAAAGCGAAGGGACGCATCACGTTCGTCGACAACGATGGTTCCACCATCGCATTGGACGAAGACTTCCAATCGGGAGTGGGTTCAGAGGCCGGCAGAGTAGAAGCTTCAGGGGGTGGAGTAATCGTTGCCGTAGCGCAAAAAGGTAAGGCGATCAGTAGACACCGTGGAGGTTCCCGGTCAAGGAGTCAAGTTGACCCCAATGCTCCTCCATGGGAGAAAGCGGGTTTCACTGAGGACATGTGGAGAGACAGGTACACCAGGCAGGCCTAGTATTCGTTGTGGCCAATATGGCCACAACCAATTCAAGTGCCGCAATAAGAAGGTGACCGAAAAGATCCCGCCTACGATGGGGCGAGCGTTGGGATCCTCCGCTCCTGTTGGTAGCAATGTGGCCAGCAGTTTTGGCACTGCTCCGGGAAATGCGTCGGGCCAGTAGGAATGATAGTTGTTCCTGCTAGGATCGAGGTGGTGGACACACCCTCACCATCTCGAGAGATGGCCCAAGCTACTGACTCCATAGTCGTCCCGCAAACACATTTTGACCCATTGAGCCTCTGTTCGATGAATGTGTTTGAATCCTTAGAGGAGCTAGAGGAGGAGTGGTTTAGATCAGACCCACTAGCTTCTTGGACGGCATTGGCCAAAGCCCCTAAGGGAGAGATCTTCGTCGGCGAGGTAGTCATCGGCGGCCGCAAGGCCGGGGCCTATTATGACACTTGCTTGACTAGGAACTTCATTAGTCGCGCGTGCGTTGAGAGGCTGCGCTTACAGGGGCGAGTGCAGCGCCTGAGTCGACCTGTGCCAACAAACAGCGCATGGTAGTCAACGACTACCTCCAGGATGTTGAGTGTTGTTTCCCGTACGCGGGAGGGAAATTGAGACATCGCGTCTCGTTCCTAGTGAGCGATGATCTCCCTATGAATACCTTGTAAGGTATGTACTACCTCTCCGTGGCCCAGCCCCAGTTTGACTGGGACCGAAAAGTGGTCAGACACACTTTGCCAGGTGGGGGGACCGCCAAATTACGTAAGTTTAAAGCTAGTAGTCTCATCGAGTCCGACGGATGCATGTTTGCGGCCGCGTTCTATAACTATTATAAGCAAAATCCGGAGGAGGGTATGTGTCTAGTCTATGTCTCTGCAGCAGGCGAGCCGGTGAAAATGCCGCCGGAGATAGAGGGAGTAGTTGCCAAGTACGCTTATCTATTTGAAGAGCCTTGTTGAGAGGGAGGTTGTCCACGCGATAGAGATTATTCCAGGGTCTAACATCCCAAAGGGTAGGATCTATCGGATGTCTCCAGGCGAGCTTGATGAGCTTCGTCGGCAACTCAAGGAACTCGTAGAAAAGGGTTGGATCCGGTCGAGTGTTTCTCCTTATGGGTCTCCAGTCCTATTCGTACCGAAGAAGGAAGGAACACTTAGGATGTGCATTGACTATAGAGGCCTCAATGCCATCACTGTCAAGAACAGAGAGCCCCTACCGCGCATCGACGACTTGCTAGATAGAGTGCAAGGGTGCCGGTACTTCAGTAAGATAAATTTGAAGTCCGGGCACCATCAGATTGCAATCCAGCCCGAGGATCAACAC